AGACATCCCCCTTGCATCGCGCCTTCCTTACGCTGCAAATAAAAAAAGAAAGTGGCACCCCGCAGCTGATTTTGCCTCGTCTGAGCAAGGCGACTTGACAGTAATACGGAACTTATTCTGGAGTTTTTAGTGGCCCGGAGGTTGGAGGACGTCCGAATTAAAAACACGGGTCTTCAGCTCTCTGGAGTGCCCTGCGTAGGCCCGGACGTAGGACTGGTACGCAAACAGCGCCAGCCGCGTGAGGTCATCCCTCCGGGCCTCATCCCCACCAGGTAAGCCATCTTCGGTCCCATCTCGCTTCATGACCACTCGGCTGATGGCGCGCTCGAGGGTGGCCGCACTCTGCATCCACACGTGGTTCGCCTTGGGGTCCAGCTTCGTCAAGTAGTACAAAAACGACTCGTACTTTCTCTCCTCCATCGCCGGCAGAGGTGCCTCATCTTCTGCAAGCGAACCCCTCGTTTTACCTTGGCGTGAGAAACAGGAGAGGCAGTCGCCCAGCACTGCCGCTGCAAGATCGATTGCGACCTCATCGGGTGGTAGCGGTAGTTGGGGAGAGACGCGACTTCCCGCTTATGTATGCATACATGTGTTTAACCCAACCGCGCGGGAGCAGTTCCGGGGTTAATCAGAGAGGCCTGCTTCGTTCGTTGGCGAAACAAGCAAGCAAACAAACGCACGTTAGGGGAGCGATGCGGCGGGCAGGTGTGCGGCTCCAGAAGGTGGCGGGGACACACCGCTGGCCCACCTCAAAAAAGCACCGAACAACCCAAAAGGATAAAACCAAAAATCAAAAGCATGGAGGGCCGCCGATGAGCGCATTGATTGTCCCGCATCAGCGATTATGCACGTAAACGTCCTCGCAGTTGTTATCGTCAAAATAGACTGTGGAGCCGACGCACGGCCCCTCCGTCGTTCGGCGCTCCCGCATCGTCGCCCGTGCCTCGGTGAAGAAACGATATTGTTTTTGTCTTTCCTCTTCTTCATTTCGCTGGTTTTCCTCCCGCTGTGCCTTTTCCAGCGCCATCCCGCCAACGGCGTACGCCTCGGCACAGCTTCGCTCCTCGGGGAAGATGGGGTACTGGTCCAAGAACCGCAGGGAAGGTAGCTGGGCAATGAGAAACTTCCTGTACGACGGCGCCGTCCTCACGAATCGGTTGCCCTGCAGCATGCAGGTGCGGAGTTTTTTCTTCTGCAGCAGCAGTGGAAGTGCATGATCCGTCTGGGCAATCCAATTGTGTGAAACATCAATGGTGGTAAGGTGCCCCAGCGGCTCTAAGCCTTGCAGGTTCGCGACACGGTTGCGGGCGGCAAGAAGCGTCTCCAGCCCTGGGGCCCGAGCGAGTCCCTCAAAAGAGGCAATGCCGTTGTTTGAAATGTCCAGCAGCCGCAGCGAGGGCAATGCCGGTAGACTGCGGCAGTCTTGAAGGGCATTGTTGCTGAGATACAGGGAGTGAAGCTGCCGCAGCGGGTGGAGCCCCTCCAGGCTGTCAATCGCATTGTTGTTGAGATACAGCACTGTGCAGTGGTGAAAGGATTCCAGCGAGGCGATCTTTCTAAAGCCGACGTAGTGCAGGTAGAGCTTCTCGTTCAATTCCGGCGTGGTGTACCCCTGATGCGCTTTGCATCGCCGCAGGATGGCCTCCTCGGTCATGGGGGTGTTTTCCGTAAAACTGGCGTCCATGCCGCCTTCCTCTGCGTCGGGGCAGACACTTCAGAAAAAAAAGGGAGTGAACGAGGAGGAGGTAGAGAGAGAGAGAGTGAAAGGGAGAGGGCGAGAGAGAGCAATACGGAAAGCGAGGCGCAGCGAGAAACGCATACACACGCACGTAAAGCGAGTTAGGCAGCGGATGAGAGAGGGAGGAGCGAACTGCAACAAAAACACAAACGAACTTCAATCCGAAGAGCAATGAGTAATTGTGGGTCCGAGGGCACTTTGACCCACACGCAGGAAAGAAGAAGAGAACGCGGGAGGAAAGCTCACGGGCCAGCAGCAGCAGCGGCGACGGCAGCAGCAGCAGCAGTGTTAGCCGCAGACGCTTGCCCAGTGGCCGTACACCAAGAGCACGCTAAGGAACACCCATGCCATCAAGAAGAGGGCAAACGAGGCCCCGAGTTGGTAGTTGAGCTCATTGAAAGATGGATTGGCGCAGACAGGGCCGTGGAATACTCCCACCATCATTGCCCACTCGACCAGCAAAAGGAGCCAAGTGGCAACCGCAGACGCGAAGAAGAGCAGATCCACACGGTACACCTTCGCAGCGAGAAGTTCAAGCAAAAGAGACACGACAAGGGCCAAAGACCCCACGAGTGCGACAATCGACAACGTCTGCAGTGCCGTGAATGCGACCCGGCGTTGCCTGCACCATTCGGTTGGTGGCAGCTTTTGCGTCAGGCACCCTCCCTTCACGGTGCAGATTTCACCGCTCCAGAGGGAAAGGCGATACTTTGAGCCCTCCATGGTTTTAAGCGTGTACAGGGGCGTCTCCGCGGTGCCGGAGAGCACGAAAAGAAACACGACGATAGCAGCCACAAGGGCAGCGGCCAGATCTGCGGAGCCCCCCTTGCGGTTGATGGTTATAGTGGAAGGAAACATCATGCGACGCCACTTTAGCAATCGGCGCTTCCTCGTTTTGATGCAAGCGGCAAGAAGAAGCCGAAAGAGAAAGAAAAAGAAAAGAAAAGAAAACTGACGGTTCACACTCTAGGAAACGACACCCACACTGGTAGATATACAGACTGTAGGCAATAAGAACGAGTCTTCTTCCTCCTCCTCCTCCTCCCGCGACTGCGTTTCTCATTGTTCATGTTCTTTTCTCTTGTTGAATTAATCCGCGTTTCTGCTTCCTCCTCTTCAGCCTCTCTCTCTCTGCGCGTAAGTGTGTGCGTGTGTATGTGTGTGTGTGCTTCCCTCGTTTGTGCCACACCGCCCCCCACACACACACTCACACAACATAGCCCTTCCCATCACAAAATCGACTGGTCGTTTAATTGTGCCGCGATGGCGCCTTTACGGGCGAAGCAGCCCTTCATTGCGGACGCGACGAGTTCCGCGACCGTCCCGGGCTCGCAAGAGCCGCGGTGCCTGGCGTAGCAGATGTCCCCGGAGTTGAGCATCATGCAGACAAGCGCCGAGGCCTGGGCGTTCGACTCCTCGGCGGCGTCGGGGTCCATCACCACCGCGCCATCGCGGAGCAGGGCGGAGCTGCAGGCAGAGAACACGTCGTACATGTCGAAACCGCCGCTCACCAAAGCCGCACTCATACTCGTCGCGACAGCATCCCACACGCCCCCGTCCTCCGCGAGGATCTCCACCACCACCTCGACCAGCAGCTGCGGTATCTTCTCCAGCATCACCACCTGCTCTGCGACTCCCTCCAACGCGAGGGACATGTCCTTCTCCGGGGTCACAATGCACCGGGGGGCGGAACCCGCGACCTGCGAGCCCGCCGAACCCGACCTTTGCACGGTGCACGCGACACGTCCACGGTTGCCGCGGTACTCGTCAACGAGCTGCTGCGGGTGGTGAACGGCGCAAACAACACGCGTGTCGCCAAGCTCCACACACGCACTGCTGTGACACTGCCCGAGGACATCCAGGGCGATGTGCGGGTAGCGCACCTTATCCGGCGCGTTTCTCCCGCAGCTCCGCTCCATCGCTGACTGTGTCTTCCGCCCCGTCCTCGCACCTCACATCGCCATTGAGCAATGGTTCACAGAGACGAAGCAACGAAAGAGAGAAAGAGAGAAAATAGTGTGGACGCATTGACACCGCCATTGGACAGAAGCGCTAACGACATCAACGCACGGTCAGTTTGGGTTTCACCTTTGCGCCGCTTCATTCACTGAGGCCTCCAGCCGAGGGCCATGGGCATCACTCTCTCTCTCTCTCTCTGTTTGTGCGTGCGTGGGCGAGGGGGCAACGGAGACATCAGAGAAAAAAAACAACAAGTAAATAAACAAGTAAATATAAAAAGAAGGGACCGGTGAGTTTCGCCACGTCCGTGCATCTTGCCCGTGTGATTGTTCTTCTCTTCTTTTGTCCTCCCCGCCCCCCGCGAGGCAGCACTCAGTGCGAGACGTCAAGGTGAAAGTCCACCCCATCCCCAAGCGATATCGCTCCATCGTCGTCGTCGTCGTCGCCTTCTTGTGCCCCGAATATCTCGAGCAGCTCCTCGTCTGTCAGGCCCGCCGTCAAGGCGGTGCCGAATTCCAGCGGCTCCGCAGCAAATTCTCCGAGGCTGACGGGAAACGGCGGCGCAGGCGCGAGCAGCTTCTTCTCCGCGGGCCCCTTCAGCAGCTCTTGCGGTGGCGCGGCGAGGCCGCCCGGGCGAAGAAAACTGCAAAGGAGGTCGGAGTAGCCCCTCGCCCCGTCGAGCTTCGCCCGCGTGTGCCGCAACCTCCGCAGGACCCGTGAAAGTTGCGCCTCCTCCCGCGCTTCCTCCTCGCGTTGCCGCAGCAGCGCCGGTTGCGCCTCCTCACGGTTTGCCCCGCCTCCGCCCACGCCGTCCGCGCTCCGCTCCGTCGTCGGTCTGGGTTTCCTCGTGTGCCCTCTTGTGCCGTCGGGTGGGACTCGCAGGGCGACGCGGTGGCGCTCCCCGCCTCGTTCCTGGCAGCACAGCGCACACGCCGCCCCGCCTTCAAAGCCCATGGCGCACTCTTCGTGGTAGCCGTGGCCGCATGCAAATATCCGCACCGACGCTTCCCCCTCGTCCCCACGTACCTCGGCAAGGCCTCCTTGGCAGATGTAGCACGCATCGGAGAGGGAAACCACGCCTCGATTCAGGCCTCGGTGAAGCTCCGTTCCGAGCGCCATGATGTCCTCGTCAATGGAGGTCTTGCAGAGACGATTGACCTCCAGCTCGAAGCTCAGTGAGGACATGATGTCCACAATGACAGGCTTGAAGGGCCCAAACCGCTCACGCTCGTGGTCCTCGACGATGCGGCAGACGACCGAGGAAAGTTCCAGCACTTTTATCATCTGGGTGAGTAGAAAGGAGACATACTTTGTGTAAATGGCAATCATTTGCTCCAGAAACATCACACCCGAGGCCGAGAGGGGGCCTGAGAGGAGAGGGAATGGGCTGCCACCGGGGGCGGGCGCCGCAGCAAGCTCGTCGTCGGCGAATCCATCCACCGTGTCCGAGGCCGACCTCAAGGCGGCGTTGTGCTGATTCTGTCGATCACACAAAAGACGACGCGGCCGCGTAAAGAGCTCCAACAGGCGAAACCAATTCTCCTCCAACGGCGAGCCGCGATCCTCATTGTACTTGCTACACAAATCCACACCCACTCTCAACACCTGCTGCAGTGGCTCTTCTCCCGCCCAACCATGGAAATGCTGTTGTTCGCCCTCGCCCGTTTCTTCGCCCCCGCGTATTCCCTCCGCCACGGCCGTCGTCCCCGTCCTCCACACATCGCGTTTATGCGGCGACGTCAACGGCGCGGACGGGGGGGAGGCGCCCTTCCTGGACACGGAAACAACGTAATTTAGCACCTCCTGCCGCAGCGCACGCAGTTTTTCGGCGACGGCCCCCAAGAGGATCTCCATCGCCTCGTCGATCATGAGCGTTTTTTCGAGCAGAAACACGGCGGCATCCGCGATCCTGTGCCGCTTCACCGCCTCCAGCACGAGGTGCAGGTCGTAGGTGACGAGCGAGTCGTGCGAGTGCAGGTAGGAGTAGACGCGCGCCGGGTCGTGGGCGCACAGCAGCTCAATGTACGTGTTCTGCAGCTTGAGGTCACCCGAGACCATCGGGTCGCCCTTCGCGACCAACTCGTCCAGGTAGCGGAGGAAGGTCCCGCTGGAGCGGCGGAGGATGTTCATCACGTCCTCGTGCTCTCCCTGGAGGTGCTCCAGGACGAACTGCGCCAGCGACGTCGCATCCACGTTTACCAGGCGCGAGATTCGATGCATCACCGCATCTCGCAGGCGCTGCGCCATCGCGCCATCGCCGCAGTGGAGGCTGCGAATCATTTCCTCTCTAAGCACGCGAAAGACATCTTTGCACAGCTCCGGATCCGTCACATTATTATCCTTGTCCAGGTAGCAGTCAATTGCCTCGCCATACTCCCACCGGGCGCAGTGCAGAGCCGCCAAGGCACGGGCCATGCGTTGTTGGCGCAACTCCTCCTCTGCAAATGAAAAATTCACGGCCGCGGTGATTGGATCCGTTATAAGCGCCGCCACATCACTTTGCACGCTGCGGCGTTCGCCATCGTTCTCGGCGATTTGAAATTCGTAGATAAAATGCGAACACGCATGCTCGCAAAATTGTTGCAGGTGCGGCAGCACCAGGGACCCGCTCAGGACAAGGTGGGTGACGCCAGTGAAGAGTTGATGCACGACCGAATGCGGCGGCCACGCCCGTCGTGCCAGTTCCCACGGTCTGTGCGGGGCGCCAGATGACACGTCTAGACCCACCAGCAGCAGAAACAACTGCGTGACACACCGCTGCTTCGGCAACGTCTCCCCCCAAGGGGAATCGGGTCCACCTTCCTGCAGCGACAGCAGCGTCGCAGAGAGGGTCCGTTCGGGGTCCGTGCGAAGAAGCGCCAGAAAGTCCTCCGTGACGGTCAACAGGTGACGCCACAGTTGCCGCTGCGCCGCTTGCCGCTGACCGCCGGGAAGCTCCGCGTCCCCCGAGAGCGCATACCCCTCCATAGTGCTCTCAAAAAAACACACCGCCACTCCCTTGTCGTAGTCCTTCGCAAGGGCAAAACGCAGCGCCGCCACGTACCGGTGCTGCCCGGACGACAAGATAGAAACAGCCAGCCGCACCAAGTTGTGCCGCTCCGCGATACGCATCAGGAGTTCAGGGTTGCTCTCCAGGCACATCAGAGCCCGTTCCACCCTCTGCAGTCCAACTGACGTTGCCGCATCGCCTGCCCCATGCGCTGTTTCCGTCCTCTCCGGCAGCGCTGCATTGGTAAAAAAGTCGAAAAACGGTTGAACGTACATATCCGGCAGCGCCGTCACGACACCGGAGAGGATGCATTTCTCAAGGCAATAGAAGGCAAGAGAGTACGTCGCGGCGTCACGCCGAAGGAAGTCCATGGCGGGGCCAAAAAACACATCCATGGCATCAATCTCTGCACAAAACCGAATGATGGATGTAATGCAATCCGTGAGTTCCTGTGGCGAGAAATGTCTGCTTGTGGCATCCATCAGGTAGGATGTAATGAGATCAAAGGAATAAGAGTGGATGTTTGCGCGCCGCGTGGCCGAGTCGCCATGGAGGCCTACAACGGCCAGTGCCACCTCAAGCGCAAACGCCTTGGCAAGCTCCAGAGCCTCAGGGAAGCGCCGCCTCTCCACCAGCGCATCCAGGCGGGCTTGCCACGATAGCAGCGTACACGTAAAGGTACGACGTCGACCCAATAAAATGGCTTCATTGCCCGTAAAAACAAGAGCAGCACCGTGCCGCATACCACGGCTTCCACTGGGGAAACCAACGGGTTCAACACTATGTAGGACGCGTGTTTCCACAATAACGCCGACGCCTGCATCCAGTAGGTGTAGTACATCTTTCTGGTCAAGAAGAAGCAGGCAGCCGTCTGTAATAGGGCTCATTGCATGCAATGGCCTCTCGAGAGAAACACTAGTTAGACGATGCAGGCTTGTCAGCTTGCCTCCGACTGCGACGCTAAAGGTCTCGAGATCCACGCCCCAGGCGACACACAGAACAACCCCATTTTCCACTGAAACTGGCAGAAACTGTACCAATTGTTGCGTCCACAGTGTCGTGGAGGGTTGCGCTCTTCGGCTGATGGGCGTTGCGACGCTCGTTAGACCGCACTCCAGCGCAGAGACGAGTAATGTATCGGCAGACACCGCCGCCACCAAGTACAACCCATCCTCTTTCACAAATGCAATATCCATATCTTTGAATGGTGCCTCTTGGACGGAGGCGGTGATATGTGTCAGACGATAAATCGTTTTGGAGAGGATGCGCGTAAAGGAAAGCAGCTTCACGCGACCGCAGTTGGTGAGTAAAACCGCCTTCAAGGGTTCCATGTAGCAGTGCTGCAATCGCGAGGTGGGCGCAGTGAACTCGTCCAAAATTTCACGGAGTGGGGTGAGGGTGTCTGTGTCCCAGAGCACCAGGGCCCCGTGCTCATGCCCGGACAACACAGTGGACGCATCAAATGACATGGAGAGTGAAACAACGGCGCCTCGCGTTGCCACGGAGGAAACCGCAATTGAGCCACACATGCCGCAGAGTTTCCTCCTTGCGTCAAAGAGCAGCAGAATACCAAGGGTGGTGCCAATGCATAACATAGGCCGCTTTGCTGCTGATGCTGATAGCGCCGGTGCAGAAACGTCTGGAGACTCCACTGCAATCACCACCGGGGCGGCTCGTGCAGAGACGCAGGTAGGCCACCCCACAGATCCTCGAGCTTTTCGTAATTCCTCACGCATTTCAATGTGCTCATGCAAATGCAAAATGCGGTTCACGTGACCTTTTTCCTCACGAAGCGACGATGCCGCAATGTGCTCGGCGTGCTGCAACACGGCATCCACATCGTCGTCGCCCTCGCCATACACCAAATCCCCGCTCACGCTTGACTGGCGATCGTGAACCGCATTTAGTATTGCAGTAAGAATTTGCTTCTCGTCTTCCATGTCTGGCGCGTCAAGGGACGTCGTCTCAAGGGGGAGAGGGCCTTCTCCACTTCCTGGAGCGGCAGGCGAACGTACAGGAACTTGGGTGTAGCTTGTGCTTGCCGACACGGCGTGCGAGATTGCACCAGTTCCATTAACCGCGGCCAATGCGGTGGTGGTGGTGCCGCTATTGCCACTAGTAGCATCCTTTGCTGCGGACGACATTGGTACTGTTGCTTGTGTTGGTGGTTTTTTGTTTGGCGTTTCCTGCGGCGTGGCCTCATCGCCCTGCCGCCGGCGCTTGGAAACCAGCTCTGGCGGAGCGGAGGCGAGATGCAGGAGGGTCTCCATCACAATAGTTTCGTCTTCATCGCCTGCGGCTCCCTTGGCCTGCAGCTGGTTCCGCCGAGCAGGCGGTGGCTCGTGCCGCCGCGGCAGCGGCGTCGCAAGGCCTTTCGGGGCCGGTATCCCACAACCCGCCAAAACAGCTTGCAGCACTGCCTCACCGTCAGCGTCGCTGCTATCTGGTGACGGTGCACGCCCGGCCCCCGCCATGGGAGCATGCAGCACTGACTCTTCCACCCTTTTCCCCACCCCCACCGCGGCGGCCTTCGCCCCATCGTCTGGCGTTACCGACGCCCCTGTCAGTGCCTCGTGAATGAGCGCGTCGAGCTCCTCGTCGCTGCCGGGCGCGTGCAGCGCCGCCGCCGCCTCTGCATGCGGCATCCCCACTTGGGCAGAGACCAGTGCGTCAAGGTCTTCCTCCGAGTCCATTCACACTCCACAGAAGCAGCCTCCCCTTCTCTCCCCCTTCTCCGCTGCCTGCCAGAGTGCGTCCCCGCCCTTGCCGGGCCCAGGAGCAAAAAAGGACGACACGGTAATCCAAAAAAAAAGTGGGGAAAAAGGGGGAGAAGGATGAAAAGATCAGCCCCAGAAAGGTCTGCTTTTACAAGTAAGGGGGAGAGTGAGGCAGGGAGACCGCGCGGGGAGTAGTGGGGCGACGGTGAGGCATGTAAGCCACCCATTGCACGCCTGAGTTGTCTACAGACCGAGGCCGACACGAGAGATCCCAAGCCAGAAGTACATCCATAACACACACACACAGAGAAAGAAATACATCCGTATATATATATATATATATATTACCGCAAGGAGAGGTAAGGAAAGTTAGGTGGCGGTTGTTTCTCACTCCCCCCTTTTCCCCCTTCTGCTTGCTTGCACCCACGCCCCGCACCACGCATATCCTGTTGTCAGTCAACAACGGGGCCAAGGAGCAACGAAGCAGGCATGAAAAAGAAAACCAGGTGGTATGTGCGTGGCAGCTTCATATACAAAAAGACGAAACAGAAAAAGAAAAGAACGGCAACGTTTCTTCTTCCTTTTCGCGTGATCACCCAAGACTGTGTCGTACAGAGATTGCACACGTACGACCACAGCTCCCCTACAGTCCCCCTCCTTCCCCAGCGCCTCTTCTTGGGTTTCGCATGCCAAACCCCTGCATCAGCAAGTCACGGGCAAGCACCACAACAATAACGAAAAGCAGAAAAGTGGTACGTGCGTGTGTGAGAGGGGTGGCTGCCACAAGCACATGCTGCAGCTCCCACTCCCATGCTGAGCCCCGACAGCCGCCAATTGGTGTGTAAAAGAAGTGAGGGGGCGCAAGTACCACGGGGACGTAGTGTAGTACACATAAGGGTGAATGCACGGGGATAGAGCGACAAAACAACAACAACAACAACAACCAGTAATGCGGAGGCCGTTGTGCGGGCACCTAAACATGAAAACGAAACACACGCACACACGTTCTTCCTCTCTTACAAGACAGTGAAACATAGTTAGAGGACAACGAGACTGGGGCGTAGTGAGGTTATATACATTACAAATGAAAAAGAGCTCAGGGGAAGAAGAAACAGAGGATGCAAATCGTTTTTTGACTTCTCCTCGTCTCTCTCTCTCTCTCTCTCTTTCTTCTGTCCCTTCCTGTTTCCCTACTCCTCTCTCTAGCTGGTTGTTTTTCTTTGCTTTACACTCCGTCGATGTGCGACAGCTGCCACTCCTGCTTCTCGCGGATTTGCTGCATTAATTCGTTGCGGTACTCCCGACGGCGATCCGCCAGACGAAGCCGCTCCTCCTGCTTGATAAGCGCCAACGATGCGGCCGCCTTTTCATTCCGCTCGCGGATGGACTCAGGGGGCTCCTCGTAGTTATGGGTGCGATGGAACTCCTTCTGCTTTTCAATGGTCTCCTCAAACTCCGCCTTGTACTGTTCCCGCTTCTGCTGCTGCTCCTGACGCTCGCGCTCCGCGAGGGCGGCGTTGAATTCAAGGATGCTCTTCAGCTCTGCTTCCTCGCGCGCCTTGTCCTCCTCCTGCTTCTTCACGACGCTACGGTGGTATTCCTCGTTCTCCTTCTGCATCATCCGCTTCAAATCCCTGGCGCGACGCTCCTCTGTTGCAGCCTTCTCCTTCTCACGATGCTGCAGGTCTCGCAGAATAGAAAGTTCATACTCCTCACGTTCCTTCTCCTTGAGGCGTTTCTGCTCCAACTCCCGCAGGTTACTTTCTCGCATGCGGTCCATGTACGCCTTTTTGGCCTTCGCATCTTCGCGCTCGCGTTCCTCCATCTGGCGCGCCAGTTCCCTCTGATTCTCCACAAGTGCCGTGACGTACGCCTTCTCATCGGCGTGCCACTTGCTGAGGTACTCTCTCCGATCCTTGAGTTGCTGCTGCATGTCAGCCTTGTACATCGCGGTCCGCTCCGCCTTGAGCTGCGCCTCCTCCTCCTTTACAATTTTGTAGTAATTTGGATTCTTCAGCGCGGCAGCCTCCTTCATGCGCTTTGAGTGTGGCCCGCCGCCGGGCAGGGGCCGCGTGAGATCGGGGTTGTAGCTCGACTGGCTCTTCCAGCTGCCGAGCAGCTTCCTCCGCTGCTCCTGACGCGCCTGCGCCACACGGATGTCCTCCTCCTCAAGCTCCTTGCGGGTCGGCGCGTACGCGTTGACGCGCAGCCGATTGCGCTCCACAAGGTAGTTGCGGCGCGTCATGGAGCGCGGGGCCTCCTCGATGGGCGGCAACGACATCGCTCTCGTTCACTGCTCACCGCGGGGTCTGGGCACTGTAACTACTCCGCCCACTGGGTACTCCACAGACTCACCCTTGATCGCTCGCTATTCTCTTGCTTTGGACCTCCGCCACAATGAAAGTGGCGCTCGCCGGTGAAGAAGAGCAACTACGGCAACCACAATAAAAAAAAGGAGGATGGGAGGCAGCGAGGTGCGTGCGGGACGCGAGCGGCACACCATTCACCGCAGCGTTAGCGACACACACACACGCATACACACAGACACAGATACAAATAGAGATAGAGAGGGTGCGCACCGATCTCACTCCTCACAGCATGTTTAGTCATGAGAAAACGGCGGCAGTGACGAGTTCACCAACCAAGCAAAGGTAAAAAGAGCTCCACGCAATAGCAGCGGCAAAACGGTGTTAACGTTGAGACTCTTCTTCGTAGCGTGTCAACCAGGGCCGCAGCTCTTCCCAGTTGGACGCACCGCTCGTGATGCGGCTGGACTGCCGGATCATCAAACGTCCCTGCAGGATGCGGGCCAGGAGCAATTGTTTATGCCCGGTAAGGCGGTGATACACCACGTACTCCCCTGGGTTTGCCGACAGCCGACGGAATCGAATTTGCGAATACGGGAACTTGACAAAATGGGTGTTGAGGACGATGCTGAGACGCGTGTCAATTTCGTCCCACCGTCGCGGGTTATACATTGGGGCCTCCGACAAATTCACCTTCCGCACGTCGGTCTTTGCCTTGCCTAACCGCGGTTCCGCCTCTGGCTTTGCCGGCACCGTCGTCGTCGTCGTTGTCGTTGTCGTCTTGCTCTTTGGCGCAGCCGCAGGACCGAGCTTACGCGGGTCCTTTCCAATAACGCCGCCGCGGAGGTAAAAGACAGTTCCACCTTTTTTCTCACAAGTCGCTGCCTGCACCGCTGAAGCCGCAACCCCCGTCGTTTTCTCTTCCGTGTCCGTCGGTGGCTCGCAATTTGTTATCCGTGTCGCCGTTGCCACTGTTGTTTCCGCGGCCTCCTCCGGAGCAGAAGGAATTGTGGCGCCCTCGTCTAGTTCTATTGGCGACTCCTCGCTTTTTCCCGTTTGCTCCCCTCCCTCACCGGGGTCGGCGGCATTGGCCACCGCTGCGGACGCCTCTTCCTGCAGAATTGGTGCGGGCTGCGGCTGCTCCGTAGGGGCTGTCTCCGCCTCCACTTCCTCCTCCTCCGCCTCGCGCAGCAGGTCATCGAGCTGCTGTTGTGAGACATTCCTCCACCTGGCGTCAATCTCCTGCTCGTAGATGACCACCGCCGGGGCGAGTTTCGTGCTTCCACGCGTGTAGGCTATGCGAGCGATTGCGAGGAGACACGTCACGACGGCTCGATCATTCTTCCCGTCGCAGAGGTCCGAGTCTGTGAACAGCTGCGCCTCCACAAGCTGGTAGGCGGCGGCCGCCTTCGCCAGGAAGGTGACGACGTTGTCGCGGGCGTAGAACCCTGTGGCCCGCTTCGGCACATGCAGGGCCTCTTCGGGCACAGGCGGGTCGCGTAGTTTCTGCAGCAGCACGTGCAGCACCACGCCGCTGCGCAGTGCGTCTACAAAATTCGCCGCGCGCAGCACCTCGGCGTTGTACGCCTCGCCAACGACTTTTGCAACCCACTCGCGACACTCCTCTGCCATAATTGCGTCCACCGCCGCCCGCGTGGGGCCAGAGCAGAGCCGCTTTGGGGGTTCAACGCCGGCATTAGGCGAGGCTGCGTGCGGCACACTCTCTGACGATCCATTTGATGCAAGACCCGCTAGCGTGCCTCGCAACACGGCCCCGTGCGGCGCCCCCGGCTCGGAGCAAAGCTTCACTTCACCCAGTTGCGGCTCACGCCCAGCATCCGGCACTGCCGCCTCACAGCTGCGACGGAGCCCGCGCGGCTCACCTCCCTCCAGTTCCGGAAGTGCCGTTGCCATTCGAAGCTTCGCTCTCTGCAGTGGTTAGGGTGTGTGCGGCGAGTCCCCCCTATCTGTTCAGAACCAGGAGGGGCAAAACAAAAAAAAACAATGAAGAAGCGAAAAACCAGCAATAACAAAACAAGAAGCATCGCTCCGTAGACGCACACACAGGCATGTGCATTGGGACGTGCCCCGTGCGTGGAATGCAAGCACGACGAAAGAGTACCGCCAGGAGCGCATAAAGCACGGAGGGAAACACTCAAAAAAGAAAAGCATCGAGATAAATTACGTTAACGGCATACTTTCCAATCCATACATTGGTAGACGCAGTCTCCTCCTCGTTTTTAAATTGCATCAACAATGCGGGTAATATCAAAGAAAGGGGCAGTCGCGGCAGGCGGCGTGACCCCGAGTTCTGTGATGATGCCACCCGTGATGAGCGCAGCGGGAGTGACGTCAAACACGGGATTCCAAATATGCAGCGACGGTCCTTCCGCCACGACGCGCTGCCGAGTTGCCATGTTGTGGGTCATCTCCGTCGTCTCACGTTCCTCAATCACAACACCGTCACCGTCCGCCGTCAGGGGGTCCAGAGTTGTGGTGGGGGCGGCAACGAAGAAGGGAACGCCGTGGTGCGCCGCGGCCACCGCGAGGTTGTACGTCCCAATCTTATTGGCAGTGTCACCATTCCTGCAGATACGATCGGCACCGACAATGACGGCGTCAATGGGGCGGGATCGCATGAGCGCCGAGGCAGCACTGTCGCAGATGAGGGTGCAGGGAATGTTTTCCTGCACACACTCGTACACAGTGAGTCGTGCACCCTGATTCCACGGCCGTGTTTCACATGCATACAGCTGCTCAAGGTTGCCCTCGTAGAACAACTGACGCACAACCCCAAGTGCGGTGCCATAGCGCGAGGTCGCAAGGGCCCCTGTGTTGCATACCGTCAGCAGACTCACCTTTGGCTTGTTAACAAGCCGCATAATGTGTGCTGCACCGTGGCGCATGATGCCTTCGTTATAGGCGACATCCTCCGCGTAAACTTTTTCTGCCAACCCGACGCACGCCTCCACCATTGCCGCTGCCGTCTCAACCGCGGCCGCCTCAATGTCACGTTTCAGCTGCGTGAGTGTCTTGGAAAGGTTCACAGCTGTGGGACGGGCCGTCATGACGGTATCGCAGCTCTCTAGCAGGAAACGTCGTGCATCCTCCGCCGAGTTCCAGGCGCTGCCTTGCTTGCGTGCCTCTCTCTCTGCGGCAACAGCAATGGCAAGGGCGGCACTGACAGCAATTGCGGGGGCCCCGCGCACGCGCATCTCCTTGATTGCCACGCAGATGTCGTCCACGCCGAGGATCTCCTCAAACACCGTCTCAAAGGGCAGTTTCCGTTGGTCCAAGAGGCGCAGCGTCCCTCTGGTGTACTGGATGGACTCCAACGTCGTGTTGTGCGCAGGCGCCATTGCTAGCCGACCGCCCGTGATGAGGCGAATAGAAAAAGCCTGCGGCGGCAGCAAACGCACGCACATTGAAAGAGAGAGCGAGAAAAAAAAAAGTAGAAATGCACGAGTGATGCACGCCGGATGCAAATAAAAGCACCGTGCAGAGTCAATAGGCTGCACCAACATCAGCACAAAAAAAAACACACACAAACAACACTATCATCGTGCACATAAACTGAGTGAAAAACTGTGGCAAACTGCGGCGTCGCAGCGGGAGAGGCGGGGACATCAGTGCCAGCGATAGGGCGGAGGCCTCGACCCCCTCAGGCTACGAGCCACGCACTCACTCGAGGCCCACCAGCCTTAAAACGGCCGTACGCGCAAAGGGGATGTAGCTAAGGCAGTACCACAGCATTGCCACGTACTGCACAAGCACCGTGATGATCGTCAGCCACGGAATGCGCAGCACAAGCGCCACAATAAACGTTAACACCATCGACGAGAGGTAGACGACGGTGGCGAGCAAACGCGTGGGATCAAACATCCGCTTGAGCTGCGTCAGGGGTCCACAGAGAAACAGCGTGCTTCCAATAGAAGTGAGGTTTGCCACCGTGTTAATAACCGCAAATGTGTTGAAGTCCAGCGAGAAGATGGAGATCCACGCGAAGATGGAGAAGAGGAACCCTAGGCCGAGGCAGACACCGAAGCCTATGAGGCGCTGCTCGAAGCTGAGGGAGGGGCACAAGTTCTCATTTTCCTCCTCCTCGCCCCGCAACTCCTGGATGACATTCTGGCCGCCGATGAGAGGCACACTGCGGCCCGCGTCAAGAAGGGAGCCAACGTTGAGCTGCGAAGTCATGGCAGCACCTTCGTCACACCCCTGCACTCCCTCAGTTGCCTCGTTCGTTTCCTTGTCGCCCGGGGAAAACTAACAACAACAACAGGAAAAAGAAAGCACCAACAACGACGACTGTGTGTGTGTGTGTGTGTGTGTGTGTGTGTGTGTGTGTGTGTGTGTGTGTGTGTGTGTGTGTGTGTGTGTGTGTGTCGTCGTCCT